ATGTGACACTGAAGCAAAAGATGTCAAATGGAAATGAATATTCATATTATAATTCACTGTCAATAAATTGTTTTTTGTTTTGCTCTGTTTTTTGTTTGTTTGTTTGTTTTTGCTATAAGTCATGTGTACTCACCAGAAAGAGAAATCACACCCAGGGGGATGGCGATGCTTCAATCCCCTCTTCTCCATTCTCTTCTTGGGATTTTAGCTAGCCATGCACATGTACCCAGCATAATTTTCTTTTCTTTTTATTTAATTTTATTTATTATTATTTTAAAATTTTGCTATACAGCACAGGCATTCATCAGAGAGAGACAGAGAAAGAGTGACAGAGAAAGTGAGAAAGCAAGTCATCATGTCTGGGACTTGAACTGCAGTCACCCATGTGGGAGTCTACCACATTTTAATCACCATGCCACCCACTGGCCCTCTGGCATAATTTTTAGACCTCCAGGTCTGAAACTTGAACTGTGGAGTCAGCCATGTGGGATCCAGCACCTTAACCTCCATGCCACCTGCTTGGCACAGTGACATCATGTGTGTGTGTATGTGTGTGTGTGTGTGTGTGTGTGTGTGTGTGTATGTTTAAAGACAAAACTGTTTTAGCCATGGTAGCTAAAACACTGCTAACACACTGGTTGATGCTGCTACTTGACAGGCTGAGACCAGTGGGAGGACCAAGTTAGATGCCGACCCATCCTTCAAAAACAGCTGATTTGGGGACCAGCAGATTGCATAATGGCTACATTGCTGGACTCCCACATAGTTGACTGCGATTTGAGTCCCAGACACGTTGGCTTAAAACTCATACCAGGCACATGTGTGTGCGTGCCCAAGATCCCAAGAAGAGAATGGAGGAGAAGGGATTGCCATGTGGCCATGCCCCCGGGGGGGAGGTGATTTCTTCCTGTCTCTCTGTCTCTTTCTGTATCTCTGGCAAGTGAACATGCACTATAACAAAACTCTAAGAAAAAAAAAAGCTAGTTTAGTGGCACACATCTGTAGTCCCAGCTGTGTGGAAGGCTGAGGCAGGAGGATGACAATATAGCAAGACTATCTTAAAAACACACACATACACACACACACACACACACACACACACACACAAATAACATATTACTTTGGGATAGATAGTAGCCCTATAAATTAAAATAAAAGAATAATTATCACAAAACACTAGGATAATAGCTCTGTGGGGAGAGTAGGGATTGCAATTGGGAAGAGACGTGAATTTTCACTCTTGACCTGGTTGGGTGTCACTTGGGTCTCACCTCATTATTGTTCTTTAGGATGTACTTACATGTTTGATTCATTCATCTATATGTATGACATATTTCAAAATGAGAAAATTAAATTGACCTAAATGTTATGTATTGCTTTCTTTGTAGTCAGAAAGAGTGTGATGATTTCAAGGTCTACCTGTGCCCTTATTCATTCATTCATTTATTCCACAGGCATTTGCTGTGTCTTTCCTGTGTTAGGCATTATACTACACACCAGAATACAGAGATCAATTTATTATCAGAGAGCTTTAATAATAAACATAATGATTGATGCTATTATATTGTAACAAATGACATTCAACTGGGGGTCTATATTAAATTTAACTTACACATAGCTCTTTGCATAGATTACCTCATTTAATCGTATGTATTGCTAATTCCCTGGTTTTAAAAACAAGGAGACTAACACAACACTTAATAACTTGTCCAAACTGACAGTGTCCTGAAAAGGCAGACCCACAATTTTCCCTTAACAACTGTGGTTTTCTCCCCAGCATCCCATCCCTTTCCCACAGATGGAAACACCCTGATTTTTCTTTAGGGCACCCCTTTTTGGTTCTTGTGGTTCATTTGGAGCTGACTACTACATTGCTCTGAGTCAAAAGACTGAAGAAGTGCCTGGCCGCTCAATATCATGAATGCAGTCATTGGCTTAAGCATGGGCATGTGACCCACAAAAGACCAATAGGATTCAAGTCTGCAGGCTTGTTGGTGCTTTGGGAAAAAGTGAGTCCACTTGGCGCTGGAATTGGAACTACTAGCAACAGAGGTAAAATAAGAATGGAGATTTGAAGGGTTCCTCTTTCGTGAGACTGAAGTTAACCAGAAACAAGGAGAGAAAAACCAGAGAATGAGTCCTGACATCGTAGTCTGAACACTTGGATCCAGCCATGCCTGAAGTTTTCCCACTGTCTGGTCTTTTCAGTTACATGAGTCTCAATGTGGGTTTTCTCACACTCACAAAAAGGAATCCTGGCTAAAATGGGGGTATAAGCACATAACTTAATAATTACTATACCAGCCAAACAATAAGGGCTAAAATAAATGGGGGTGCATTCAGGTGTAAGACGTTTTTCACGTTCTTCCCTTTCTCATCCTCGGTCTGAAGTCAAGTTTCAGGGAAGATGTAGTCTCACTAAGACAAAGAGTCATGGATTACCTTAATAGCAGCTCAGGCCAGTCCAGCATCCTTTACTGGGGGGACAGGCAGCCATACCCAAGATCCTGAAAGATGATCACAAAAGACCTCATCTCAGGGACAATAACAACAAGAGTCATTTAGGTTTTGGAGTACACTTCATCCCAGACATACGAAGCCCTTGACAGCAAAATTAAATCTGACATCACTCCTCAGGTTGACGAAACACTGCTGTCGTCTTCCCAGTAGAATGAGCTCAGACATTTGAGGCCCTCTCTCCCTGAGGACTGGAGTCACCTACTTCATTCAGCCTGGCCAATGATATCCCAGTCACCTTGAAAGTGACTGAGCCTCCAGAAGGTCCCTGTCGTGAGGCACTAATGTAGCCCTTTGAGACAAAAGAGTAAGTGACACGGGAGCTCAGTCAAGCCACGGTCTCAACTCCATTCTTGGGTTTTACTCTTCGGTCACTTGGTCATCTCATCTTGAGCCCCTCCCCAGTCAGGTTCAGAAAGAACTCTACCCCCTCACTGTCACGTGAAGGTCAGACTTTAAAGTCAGCATCTAAGTTGATTAGACCACTAACATCCTTTAAAAGGAATGGAACAGCTGACATTAAGAACATCACAAAAGGTCGTATATATTTTTTCTCCATTGGAAAGGACTATTCGCCAGGTTCAGGCAGCAGAGGCACGAGCGCATTCTCATTCACGGCAGATGTATGTAAATAACTACACTGTTTAGCACCCTGGCCCATGGGCAGTTCACCCTCCTGCTCCCTCAAAGGTGACCGTTACACTCAGTGTTCCTACCGCTGAGCAAGGCGAGGTCCTACTTCCCCTCCAGAGATGGAGACTGAAAGGGAAAAAATATTTCTTTCTCCTTGATAAATTTGAAGCTGTAATAAATCAGAATTTAGATCTTTGGTGAATAATTCATGTTTATCTTTAAAAAAAATAATGACTTTCATTATATTTCACCTTCCTCTTATTAAGTTCTAGAAGCTAATTCTCTGGACTGGACCCTCCAGAATCTTAGTTTTGACTGATGACTCTCCCTCAAGAGGCCCTCTCATTACCTCCACCCACCTCAGTCAGCTGTCTTTTGTCCCCAAAAATTATGGATGAGGACAAAAGACAGGGAAGGAAGAGTCTGGGCCGACAGTGGCTGTGGGATTCAGCAGGGTCCCTAAAGCTCCCCTCTTGGGCCCACCAACTCCATCCTTGGCCTTAGGTAGGAGGTCTCTTAGGCTAACTGCTATGGCTCCCTGGCCCCTCAGCTGGGCACCTGACAGTATCCCCTCCACCTCTTTCTCTTTGCCCCATGCAGGAAGTTGGGTAGGTAAGGTCCTTCTAAAGCAACCTTACTCCTCCAAGAGCCATCTGGCACTTCATACAGTAATGCAACAATTCCACACAGTGATTTCTCTGTGGCCGTGGCTGCTTCAGCCAGCCCCTTGAATGAAGTCTCTTCCTTCTCTTTCAAGCTTGAGTTAAGGTTCCGACGTCTGTGTCTTCCCCATCATGGGTGGCACATCTCAAACTGTCTTAGTGGGTGGTCAATTTGGAGCTTTTCTTACTAGGTTTGAGGTGAGGGGAAAACATGGCCTACTTTCCTCCACAAGGGGAATTGGACGCGTATCACACCACAACTCTCCAAAGAAATATAATTTCCAGTGTCTGGCCTTTTCATCTTCAACCCTCCAACACCCACATTTTTCCCTTTACATTCAACTATAGTTATTCTAATTTTAGTATATATTACACACAGTAAAAGTCACCTTTTTAGTGTAGAATTCTAAGAGTTTTGAAGACTGAATATAGTAATATAATCACAACTACAATCAAGATATAGAACAGCTTCATCGCTCCCCAAATTTCTTTTTTTTTTGAGAGAGATTTTTGCCTTAGGATACATGCGCTCACTGGAGAAAGGGACAGGAACAGTGAAAGAGAAAGTAAGGAATCACTCCGTGGGCAGATGGCCATGCCACAATCCCTTTTCCTCCATTCTCCTCCAGGGATCTTAGACGCACGTGCACACATGCCTGGCATGTTTCAAGCCACTGGGTCTGGGAATTGAACCAGAGTCTGCCATGTGGGAGTCCAGTGATGTAACTGCTATGCCATCTGTTGCCCCTCTCCCCCAAATTTCTTTCACTCTCTTTATAATCAACTTCTTCCCTTACTCTTAGCCCTTGGTAGCCATTAGTTTCTCTCTCCCTCTCTCTTGCTCTCTGTTATTATGAGCAAGAGAGAGACAGTACCCCCAACAAGGCTTTGACTCTGCAATCCACCTTCAGCCTTAGTAAACCCAGATCATAGGCACCCATGTCCCTATCATACTCAGGGAGGCATCTGGACTTGAACCAACAAACTTCTCATGTGGAACAGCCTTACAGAGTGCTGCATTTTACTTCTGTGTTGCTATCTGCCCCAGCCACCAATCTCTTATTTGCCATGTAAATGGACTCATTCTACATGTAGCCTTTGGGTTTGACTCCTTTCACTTTCCATGTTTTTGAGATTCATTGACATTGTTATAAGGACTCATCCTTTTTTTTTTTTTTTTTTTTTTAGGTTTTCACCATACTGCCTTCAATGGAGAGAGAAAGCGACAAGAGGAAAAGTGAGAAATCAGTCCCCCGGGGGTGAATGGTCACACCACAATCCTTTCCTTCCTCCTCTATTCTCCTGGCATGCATATGTACCTTGTGTGATTTCAAACCACTGGGTCCGGGACTTGAACTATGGTTGGCCATGCGGGAGTCCACCACCTTAACTACCACACCACCTGCTGGCCCCAGACTCATTCCTTTTTATTGCTGAGTCCTATTGTTCACTTGGATGTACCAGGGGTTGTTTATCTCTTCAGTAACTAAAGGGCATTGCCTTATTTCTAGGATGTGGCAATTATGGCTGAACCCACTATAAACATTCATATATAGGTTTTTGTAGGAAGCTAAGTTTTCACTTTACTTGGGTACATACCTAAAAGTGGAATTGTGGATTGCTGGGTCATAGCGTGAGGAACTGCCAAACTATTTTTCACAGAAGCTGTACTATTTTACATTTCTACTAGCACCCACATCTTAACCAGCACTTAAAATTATCCATTTGCTTTTTTCATTTTAACCATTCTAATAGATGCCTAGTAGTATCGTAGAGCTTTATTTGCATTTTCTTAATTATTAATGCCATAAACATCTCTTCATATATTTATTTGCCATTCATTTATCTTCTTTGTTGAAATGTTAATTCAAATCCTTGCCCATTCTAAAATCAAGCCATTTATCTTATTAATATTGAGGATTTTTAAAAATAATTTTTAAGAATTATTTTACTTAACTTTATCCACTTATTTATTTATTTATTTTAAAATCTGACTAGAGAGGGACAGAGTGACAGACAGAGAGAGAGAGAGGTAAAGTGAGAAAGCAAGCCACCAGGTCCAGGACTTGAACCACAGTCAGCCATGTGGGAGTCTAGAGCCCATAAACACCATGCCACCTGTCAGCGTTAATAATGAGTTTTGAGTCTCCTTTTTATTTCCAGATTTATAAAGTTTATTTCTAAACCTGCCTCAGAAAATTGTTAGTATATAGCATCATAATATTTGATAATCATTCTAAGAATCATAATTTTATATAAATTTGCTTTCCTAGGTAATGTGAATGACTTTTATTTCCAAGTAAATAATTCTTTTTAAAATGTTTTGTATTATTTAAATTTAATCATGATAGTTTCCTTTATATGGCATGAATCAGATAAGTGTTTTGCAAATATGTTCTCTCAAGTTTTGTTTTGTTTTGAGAGGTTTTTGTCTCAGGGCACGTGTGATTTAGGAGAGAGAGACAGACAGAGATAGTGAGAGGGAAAGTGAGAAATCACTCCCCCAGGGTGGGGATGGTCATGCCACAACCCCTTCCCCATTCTCCTCCCGGGATCTTGGGCACGCATGCACCCAGGTCTGGCACAATTTTTTTTTTTTTTTGAGAGATTTTCGCTATAGGGCGCGTGCGCTCGCCAGACAGACAGAGAGAGACATTAGAGACAGAAAGCAAGAAATCACCCCCCAGGGGGATGGCCACGCCGCAGTCCCTTCTCCTCCATTCTCCTCTCGGGATCTTGGGCATGCACGCACACGCGCCCAGCGTGAGTTTTAAGCCACCGGGTCCCGGACGCGAACCGCGGTTGACTACGTGGGAGTCCAGCGACATAGCCATTACGCTAACTGCTGGTTCCCAGGCCTGGCATAATTTTTAAGACATCAGGTCTGGGACACGAACTATGGTTGGCCACGTAGGAGTCCAGTGATGAAACTACTATGCCATCTGTTGGCCCCATCAGATATCTTCTCTCAGTTAGTGGTTTGTCTTTTCATTCTGTTAAGAGTGTCTTTTATTTAATTTTTTTTAGATTTTTTTTTTTGAGAGGTTTTTGTTATAGGGCGCATGTGCTTCCCAGAAAGACAGAGAGAGACAGAGAGACAGAAAGTGAGAAATCATCCCCCAGGGGCGATGGCCGCACTGTAATCCCTTCTCCTGTATTCTCCTCTCGGGGTCTTGGGCATGCACACACACACGCCAGGCATGAGTTTAAACCATCGGGTCCAGGACTCGAACCGCAGTCAACTACATGGGAGTCCAGCGACACAGACATTACCCCAACTGGTGGTCCCAAGAGTGTCTTTTAAAGAGCAAAAGTTTTCAATTTTAATGAAGCCTAATACAGGAATTTTTCCTTTTGGGGATCATGCTTTCAGTTTTGTAACTATAGAATCTTTACCTAGCCCAAGAGCACAATGAGTTTCTCTTACCTTTTTCTAAAAATTTTACATTATTGGGGTTTACATTTAAGTCTATAGCCTGAATTAATTTTTATACATTGTACAAAGTATAGGTCAGTGCATATGTAGATGTCTAATTGCTTTAACACTATTTGTTGTAAAACTATCCTTTCTCCATTAACTCACTTGTACTGTTGTTAGAAATCAATTGACCATATATGTGTGGGTCTATTTCTGGACTTCCATGCGAACTATTGATCGGTATATATCTTTTTGAAACATTTAACTGCCTTGGTTACCACAGCTTTAGAGTAAGCTTTGAAATCAGAGAGTGTGAGTCCTCTAATTTTGCTATTTTTCAAAACTCTTTTGGTTATTCTAGTTCTTTTGGCTTTCCATATAAATTTTACTTACTTATTTACTTATTTTAGTTTTTTGCCATAGGGCATGCATTCGCCAAAGAGAGACAGAGAGAAAGTGAGAAGTCACCCCCCAAGGGGGGGATGGTCATACTGCAATTCCTTCTCTTTCTCCTCAGGTATGCACACACACTTACCCAGCGTGAGTTTTAAGCTGCTGGTCTGAGTAGTGAACTGCAGTTGGTCATGTGGGAATCCAACACCTTAACCACCACACCACCTGCTGGCCTGCTGGCCCCTCTATACAAATTTTAGAATTAGCTTATTGGTTTCTACAAAAACTTTTTTTTTTTTTTTTGGCTGAAATGGTATTGCAGTGAATCAGTGTGTCAGTATGAGAAGAATTTCCATTTTAACAATAATAAGTCTTCCAATCCATTCACCATCCACTTATTTAGGTCTTTTTTACTTCATCAGTATTTTATAGTTTTCAGCATACAGATCTTATACAAATTTTATTAGATTTATACCTAAAATATTACATGTGTTTAGATGTTATTATAAATAGTACTTCTAAAAATTTTAATTTTCAATTGCTCACTGTTAGCATATAAAAATACAACTGATTTATATTTTTTGACCTGGAACCTTTAATCTTACTAAACTCACTTATTACCACCTCTAGAAGATTTTTTTCCCAAATTTTTTGAAACTTTCTATATAGACAATTATATCAATTTTGAATAGAGACAGTTTTATTTCTTCTTTTATAATCTATGCACCTTTTTTTTTTTCTTGCCTAATTACACTAGCCAGGACTGCTAATAAAATGTTGGAAAGGAGTGGTAAAAACATACCTCTCCATCTTAGTATCAATTTCAAAAATTAATGTTTCCAGGACCAGCAGATGGAGTAATGGTTATGTCTCTGGATTCCCACGTAGTCGACTGTGGTTCAAGTCCCAGATCCAGTGACTTAAAACTCACATGAAGTGTGTGTGTGTGTGTGTGTGTGTGTGTGTGTGTGTGTGCCCAAGATCCTGAGAGGAGAATGGAGGAGAAGGGATTGTGGTATGGCCACCCCCCTGGGAGGGGTGATTTCTCGCTTTCTGTCTCTCTGTCTCTCTGGTGAGCACAGGCACCTATAGCAAAAATCTCTCTCTAGGAAAAAATAATAAATTAATGTTTCCTTGGAGCATTCTCACTAAGTTTGTAGTGAAAGTAAAAGGTTCTTTTGGTTTTCCCCAAGAGGAGAATAAAACTATCTTGTTGACAACTCTATCTAAAAAATGTCTCACCATCAGGTGGTATGGAGGTTAAGGCAGCTGGATCCCACATGGCCGACTGCAAGGTATGAGCCACAGACCCAACATGTGCCCAAAATCCTGAGAGGAGAGTAGAAAGGTTGGGATTGTGGAAGGGCTATCTTCCCAGGGGGTGATTTCTCACTTTCTTTCTCACTCTCTAGCCAATGTGTGCACCCTATAGCAAAAAATAAAAATAAAATAAAAGGCTAATTTCAACTTTTGGTCTTTGAAGTTTCAGCCTTAGTTAGACCTTTAAGTTAGGTAGGAACCAAAATGGTTCCATGGTGCCTCTTTATAAGACTATTTTTTTTAAAGAGAGATTTTTGCTATTGGGTATGTTCACTCACCAGAGAGACAGAAAAAAAGTAAGAAATCACGCCCTGGGGGCATCCCTTCTCCTTCATTCTTCTCTCGGGATTTTGGGCACACACACATGCACCTGGACTGAGCTTCAAGCCACCGGGTTCAGGACTGAAACCACAATCAGACATGTGGAAGTCCAGTGCCTTAACCACTATCCACCAGTTGGCCCCTAGAAATCTCTTTTTTTAAAGAGTGGTTTTTGCTATAGGGCTTGTGTACTCATGGGAGAGACAGAGAGAGACAGAAAGACAGAAAGCAAGAAATTACACCACCACCCCCCAGTGGGGAATGGCCACGCCGCAATCCCTTCTCATCCATTCTCCTCTCAGAATCTTGGACATGCATGCACACGCACAGTGTGAGGTTTAAGCCGCCAGGTCTGGGACTTGAACCATGGTTGACTACGTGAGAGTCCAGTGATATAACTGTTATGCCATCTGCTGGTCCCCCCTATAAATCTTATATATGTGTTCTAGCACCTCGTTTGGGAGAACAAGAGGATCAGCTAGCCACCCTTTTTCTCCCAGCATTTTGAAGGGTCTCAGCCAAAAGAAAGACACTCTTTTACAGATAGTATTAACTACTACTTTTACAAATGAGGGAAGTGGGCCTCTAAGAGTTTAAATAACTTGTCAAGGTCATGTCACTAGGAAGTAGCATGATTTAAACAGCTCTGTCGGAACCAGAGTGGGTATTCTTTCTACTAGGTCACACCAATCCAGCTAGAAAAATCCAGGAAGCATTTATCATTTTTCAAACTCACATATAAAAACAAAAGGGCTAAGATATTTCTAAACTTAGTCATTCTAGACCACACTATGGAAAATGGAAGAAATAGTGTTACATTTGTCCTCCAAGTGGCCACAGAATAATAATCACCCTATATCCTGAAGCAGGAGCTGAAGTCAGACGCTGAGAATCTCCAATTATCAACACTGATAACCCTGAGGCTTTCCTTGAATAATCCAGACAAGAAATCAGAACTGACAATAAGGACTCTGATTGAGTCAAGAAATTTGACAGTATGTCTCTAGGTCAAGGAGTCCACGCCTATTTGCTTCCATGACAACTTTAGAACACCTAGGCCCCGCCAGGAGATCACTTCTTGCTAATGAGAAGGAGGCAGGACCTAACCTAAGGAAAAGTTTAGGATTGAAACCAATCCCAGTAAAATCACTAACTGAAAGGAATACCACCACCTTCGTTTATCGTTTTGAAGCAGGTAAAGAAAGCTTTTGTCAAGCTTTTCGAAAAAAGGATTCTCCTGAGAACTAAAACATTCAAATAAAAGAGAAAAGGTTCAGCAATTCCACTCCTGATTACAAACCCAAAAGAATTGAAAAAAGGCATTTAAACAAAAATTTGTGCATGAATGTTTACAACTGTGCTATTCATAAGAGTCAAGAGATAGAAACAACATAAATGTCCACCAACTGATGAATGGATAAACAAAATGTGGTATATCTGCACAACAGAATTTCATTTTATTGCCAGAGGATGCATGAGCTTGCCAGAGAGAG